ACTAACACCAACGAATGCCAGTGTTCTGGCATCGTGTATATACAAAGGCGGCATTTGATAAGGGGATTTGTCAACATAAGTAATGACAGAGATGTCTTCATGAAACAACGTAATATCCAAGGGGTTGCAGTACGGAAAATATTTACATTTCTTCATCAGTAGAGAAACCTCTGTGCTTAGAGATAAAATCCTATAATCTTTCTAGAATGAGAACAATATAATTGACGCTAAACGTCAATTACCAAACAGGAAAACACTACAGAAAGACTTCACCATTTAATAAATATATTATCTAGGTATTCATATTTTACATTCCAGTAATAGTCAGGGTCATATAAGAACGGGTGTGATGAGGGAGACAGAGAGAAGAAAATGAAGCATCGAAACAAATTGACACGAAATGAAAGAATATCAAAATCCTGATGTTGTAATATGACCAGCAGATCTATTTTGGTATTCACAATGTCCACTTGCAAGTAAACACGGACCAGATACACAAGTGAATAGCACTGTCGAACACAAAATTCTATATAGAAGAAGCAAAGAAGGAAAAGAACTTTTGAAACATTTGAGTCGATTGAGAACAAACCTGTGTATAATGTGTACCATGCCAAAGTCTAGAAGGTGAGGTGCGTTAGCCCATAATTAAATCAACAGATTTTGCATTTTCCCGTAAAACGTGGCATGCAGATCACAGCAGTGTCTAACACCAGCAATATCGAATAATGTGCAAAAAGACACACTAGTAAATAGAACCTTCAAATTTAGATCTTAATTCAATAGAACAAACAATAAATAGCACTATCACACAGAGAGGTCACTCTTAGCCGCCTCCAAGGTAACATACATTGAAATACAGCAAGATACAGCCAGCATATTATTTCCGCCTGTACAGGTGTTATGGGTATGTAGATGTGTCCATACGTTAACGAATAGTGCCATATTTTGTTGATAACTATGAAATAACATAACCTGATTAAGTAGAACAAAATGGCACAGCAGTTACCATCGGATACCGTTCACGTGCTTCAAGCGTTTTTAAAATATAGTATAAACATACACATTAGCTATACATATTCACGTGTAAGACACATAAAAATCTTGCTTTAAGAGTGAAAATGATCAATGATGTTTATTACAAATAAAGGCTTCAAATAGAAATGATGTTCTATTGACAATATTTACAGAAGAGCATACAAATTGTCAATAGACTATAACTAGTTACACACATGCTATTATATATGCAGCGACAATTCATAAAATGAGGTTTCTGTGATGATATGTTCATCCGTTATAAACATAATATATGACCTGTATGGTTATAGCACACATTTTTCGGGGTTGATATTCAATTTTTCTGTCAGCTTTTTATATTCGGTTACTTTGGAATTCACGTGTTATTTGGTTTATATTCGGTTACCATGGTTATGTTTGAGACAGAAGTTATATAACTGGTTTCCTTGGTTAATGTTTCAGAATTTACTTACAGTATGTTCAATCACTATGGTTATGTTTGACACAGAAGTTATATAACTGTGGTTTCCTTGGTTAATGTTTCATAATTTACTTACAGTATGTGCCATTATTATGGTTACTCCTTCAGGCCTTATATACATGTTAAGTTGTCGCTATGGTTACTCTTTCAGACGTTATTGATACTATCTATTTACATTATACACGGTTGTTATAGGTACGTAATCCGTGAATCCTACTGTTACCGTTTCCTACATCATTTGAAGTAAAAGTGGTTATTATTTGCACTATACTTGGTCTCTATATTTACTCTTTTTGTGATGCTATTTAAATTATTTCTAATTTGTTTGGTGAATGTAGTATACGTTTTTTTGGTCTATGTTATTACTTTTTCAGACAGTATTTGTATGTATATTATGATTTATATGGCATCTGTTATGACATTATATTACATCATATGTGGTTTCTATGGTAACTGGTATGACATTATGTCACATTATCTGTGGCTTCTATGGTAACTGGTATGACATTATGTCACATTATCTGTGGCTTCTATGGTAACTGGTATGACATTATGTTACATTATCTGTGGTTTCTATGGTAACTGGTATGACATTATGTTACATTATATGTGGTTTCTATGGTAACTGGTATGACATTATGTTACATTATCTGTGGTTTCTATGGTAACTGGTATGACATTATGTAACATTATCATTGGTTTCTATGGTAACTGGTATGACATTATGTTACAGTATATGTGGTTTCTATGGTAACTGGTATGACATTATGTAACATTATCTGTGGTTTCTATGGTAACTGGTATGACATTATGTTACATTATCTGTGGTTTCTATGGTAACTGGTATGACATTATGTTACATTATATGTGGTTTCTATGATAGCTGGTATGACATTATGTTACAATATATGTGGTTTCTGTGATAGCTGGTATGACATTATGTTACATCATCTGTGGTTTCTATGGTAACTGGTATGACATTATGTTACATTATCTGTGGTTTCTATGGTAACTGGTATGACATTATGTTACATTATATGTGGTTTCTATGGTAACTGGTATGACATTATGTAACATTATCTGTGGTTTCTATGGTAACTGGTATGACATCATGTTACATCATCTGTGGTTTCTATGGTAACTGGTATGACATGTTACATTATCTGTGGTTTCTATGGTAACTGGTATGACATCATGTTACAATATATGTGGTTTCTATGATAGCTGGTATGACATTATATAACTATATCTATGGTTTCTATTATTCATGATTCAAGCATTATTTACATTATCAGAATATTTAACGTCCGACATCAATCCCACAACATTAATGACATGTTTAATTAAGTGGAAGTCATTTACGAATTGGTCTAGACTCTATTTATGACAAGCTGGGTTCTCTTCCGTCCATTAAGTGACACTAGTAACTAACCAATGCGTTATTTATAGACCAATTACAATGATCTGCTCTAGCCCCAGTCCATTCTCAGGTCAAAGCCTCCCTCTAGATACGTTTAAATCCTAAATGTGTACACTCGATCCCTCTTGTTCGGTCCATGGTAATGTCCAGCACAGTGGTATTTACAAGTCTATAGATATATATCGCAGTGCGGGAAAAGAGTTCTGCATTGTAAATAACTTTCTGATAACTACCACAGCATCCTAGCTGGAGCAGACTTGGAGATATAGAAATGTGGTTTACTTCTATTTTGAGTTGATGGTTATGTATAAAGTGATGTGCAAATTTTCAACATCAGACAATATGCATGATGCTACTATCTTTTTCGAAATACCACACGGATAGCCTAGTTCACTTTTCCTCCGGACTATTCTTTTGTGAAAGAAGTCTTCAGTTTGGTCCTCAAACCATACGTTTAGGACAGTTTTGAATACACTAGCAGCAGAAAACCCCCTCCGACGTTCATAGGATGTCAAATTGTCATGCATTTTCATTAGTTGTTCGAACTGATATTAATCAACAATGTCTGTCTCTAAAAACATTCATGGTGAAGCGAGTATTTTGACTTGACAAAACATTAAAGAGTGCATTTTTCGAACCCGCTATTCACAAAAGAGTTTATCAATAACATCTTGTCTTTCTTTTTTGTAGCGATACAAATTATTTTCTTCTCTGTTACCTTGCCCAATAATGTATTTGGTATGAGAAAAATGTAACTTCATTAAAGCTGTATAGAGACAAGTGTTCAGTTGTTTTTTTGTATGTGATTCTTATATACTTAAAGAATTGTATATATGCTGACATAGTATCGAAGATCTTTTGTTGAAATATTGAATACTTATATTTCGCATTAATCTAAAAAGAAGACATGGGATACACAATGTATTATATATATAAAAGATCTTAAATAATCTCTCATTTCATAAGAAAAAATTGAACAAGTCTCTTTTTTTAACTTTGCCAACCTTGACTGGCAAGAATTAAAACATTGAGATGAAACCAGGATAAAATCAAATGGACACAGCCAATTTATTGTGCCATATTTAGTTTATGTTGTTATGTCGTTGTCTTTATTATGACGTCTCCATCGATTTCTGATTGGCTCTGCCAATGAAGAAGACGTTATAGGGTATATGACACAAATGTCATATGTGTAAAAAAAATGCATCCAAAAAATTCACTTACTAACAAGTGGATTATGTGACAAATCTGATTATTGTATAGAATAGAATCACCATTTGAGATATTGTATAAAACATTTTATGGAAGTTTACGAAAGATATAATCAACCATATTCATTGTATGTATATTTATGTATGCTCCTTGAAATGTATTCTAAAGAATACACATTCTGCTGTGACATACGAGAACTGGTGTTTTGTGAAATATCGATCATTTCGATTCACTGCTTGCAACTGGCATCATGAATCTTTGCCAGATTCAAAACAGGTTGTAAAATCTCTACGTTATTTTTTTTCTTAAATTTCTGCCATCAAGTGCAGTTGCTTGTAAACGTTCGGCCATAGTAAAGATGCGTTTGAATAGATTAACACAGATAGTTCTATTTCCAATATCTCTATTGTATTAATGTATACCTGTTTTAACTATACATCTTACTCTTGTCTAGATCCATAGCTTTAAGTACCAACCACTTTTCAGATAATTCAAACTGTATTTAAAAGTAACACTGAAATTTACTACCATATACCATCATAGCTTTTTGTCAGGTTACATATACCAGGAAGTCGAAATATACATTATAAATACCATTCACTTATCTCGATACAATCGCATTAGATTTCCTGCATTGATTTTTATAACAGTACAATATCGACATAACAGAATCATCCATACACAAATGTGATGAAACTGGGTATGATATGAACAACAGAAAAATGAACAGGGTTAATAGGAATGTTTACATTGACACTTACATACAAAGTAAAATTTGATGTAAATGAAAAGAGGTCATCTAAAGCCATTTAATATTATCAAATACATATTGAAGAAATGCAGTGTTTAAGTGAGCGTTAAATTGAGAATTACCTTGAAAGTTGTTGATCTGCCTGTACCAGCTCTCCGACCATTACCAAAGTAATGGCTACGCTGAGAAGTGTCCACTCCATGGTTCTGTATCACTTACTGACCGATCGCTTTAAGTAAATACCACAGTAGCCGTTAATTTGTTTGTTCCTCACAGTCTGATCAGGTTTTCAACTACGTAGTAAACAAATATATTATAAACAATGATGTATCTCCAGCACGTGCAAGACGATCTGTGCACGTAAGACTTAACACAATGTTTACATTTTTTGTCCTCGCGAGACAGTCAATGTAGAAATCGAACTCTTCAGGTCTATACAGTAATCAGCACACTAGTATCACAGACTCGGGAATAGCAGAGCATGGCTTCCAAAATCAAGATGTGCATATGCATATTATAGCATTCCTGTTAAGTCGACAGATCATGTGGTATTTCTATATTTATCTTTCCCGTGGTCACGTGGATTAAAATATCTATACACTCCAACCGCACATACTGCTCGGTCTTGTCAGCCGCTGAAGCTGTCATGTCTTGTCAGCAGCTGAATTAAGCACAGTTTCTAGTTTCTGGAGACAAGCTTACAGCGTGACGAATCCGCGCCCCATGCTGTCCCAAGAGTGTGTGAAGGTAATCGATATGTTGGATACAAAGGGATAAAAACACACACCAATTACACACCTCTCTAACCGTAATACACAAACTGCCTAGGGGAGTGTAATTAAGCAACACCTTTAACCATATAACATAACACTAGAACTGATACAAAGAGGGGCGGCAGGGGACCAATAAAAATCTGCTATCTGTCGATAAACCTGGTTAATAAATCATCACCTATACATGGAAATATTGTGTGAATAAATAACAGTAACACCAAAGGCCATGTTTACTTTACAATTACTATGTATAAAAGATCATCACGAGATCTGCTCCTAATTATATGAGCTGGGTCAGTGTTATATCTGAGTTACTCGGATAACGTTCATACCTAACGGTCTCCGGATATTGTTATAAGTAATTACCTTACACCTGTCTACACTTACTTGTCGGTGTAAGTCGACCTTTATAATTCTATACATTCAACATCACGTGACTGGTTCAAATAAGATTGGCTTAGAATATTTATATGGAGATTAATCTTTTTCCGAGTATAATGGTGATGTATACAAACAGGTAGGACAATTAAAGTAACAGTTAAACAGTTACACACACAGATAACATTCTCCGGACCTTACATATTCACATACATATTTTTTTTATAAAGGATAAGTGTCTCGTTTCTCTAGATTGGGAGAAAACCAGTGATTCTGGTCTTTCCTGTTCTAACTGAATACTGTCTTTGAAGATTTAACTCACTATAGAGGTTTTGACACAAAGTGGACTCTATTACTCCAGGCGATTTTTCCTTTTTAGTTCTCATCTGCTTTATCTCAGAGGTTTTTAAAGTTATCACTAAAAATGTCCTATTACCCAGGTAAAGGTCTGATACCACTGTGCTGCAGAGAAAATCGTTTTAATTTTGAGAAACCGAGTTTTATTCGAGGCTATCTATAATGCATTGTTTTGTGATGAATAGCTCAAGTCTAATAACAGTTATCTACTCCATCTAGAATTCTTTTATAGTATTCAAGGTAGTGTCACACTTCTGAGTATAGAACAGGATTCAAGGTAGTGTCACACTTCTGAGTATAGCATAGGATTCAAGGTAGTGTCACACTTCTGAGTATAGCACAGGATTCAAGGTAGTGTCATGCTTCTGTGTATAGCACAGGATTAAAGGTAGTGTCACGCTTCTGTGTATAGCACAGGATTCACGGTAGTGTCATGCTTCTGTGTATAGCACAGGATTCAAGGTAGTGTCACGCTTCTGAGTATACCACAGGATTTACGGTAGTGTCACGCTGCTGAGTATGGAATATGATTCAAGGTAGTGTCACGCTGCTGAGTATGGAATATGATTCAAGGTAGTGTCACGCTTCTGAGTATAGCACAGGATTCAAAGTAGTGTCACGCTTCTGAGTATAGCATAGTATTTAAGGTAATGTCGCAATACTGAGTTTAGGATATGATTCAGGGTAGTGTCACAATACTGGATACAGCATATGATTCAAGGGTGTCACCTAACTGAATCTGGGTCCTCACTATTAATGAAATACAAACTATATATATGCCACATATCAGCCAGATACTGTAAGATTACCACACTTTATAAGCGTTTATATAAAATATAAACGAGAACCGATATGCTTAGTCAACTGCAATTTGGTTCATTTGTTAAAAAAAGCTCATGATTATTAAGGTATGCCAGAAATGGGAGTATGTCGACTGTAATAAACCGGTCTATGAAGGTGTCAATACGCGGGTAGGGTGATTACACGAATTAACATTGCTCTAAATTAATTATACATTATTTCATTAAGCAAACTAAGTAATTTCAATGACATTTATATGAAGCATAAATCACACGCCAAATATATTTAAATGCTCAGTGAAATTAACACTAGAACCAAACCTGTCAGACGGAAAGGAACCCTGTAACTTCATTGTATGACTGACCTATGTGTTTGGTCTTGGCGAAGTTCCCTGTTACAGTCACAGCAGAGATCGGGACACATATGATACTCCCTTTCGTCACTATGTGCCAGTAACAGATCTTGAGTGCCGGGTTCGATAAGTCATGCATCGGGTTCTCTTCGTGGGTATATAGTTTGTACACAGTGTTGTCCTACGATACGGAAATATATATCTATGTCCTGGCCAGACAGGTTCTATGAAGGCAGCACTGAAAAATTTTGTTGTACTAGGCTGTCACTGACTATAGCCTTCAGTTGTTAGTAAGGTTTCACCCTGTTGATTGTCCTCAATGTATCTGTATCAAAGTGATTTTCTAGTATCTCACTGTAACACTCTCTGTATAACAATGACATTAAATTAAACTAAAGGAAATTAAATAAACACTGTTAACAAGCCCGATTATACATTTCAGTGTTCAAAAAATGTCCAAATGTCAAGGTTATCCCATAACGCCAATAATGGCCGATGAGAAACTTCAATAGAGGCGGTCACGTTAAATAGCAAAACAAAAACACAAACAAACAAACGAAAAACAAAAACAAAAATAAATAAATAAAATAAAAATAAATAAAATTAAAATAGCACAAAAATTTCGGTGATATCTTTTTTAAGATATCGTTTATAAAAACCGCATTTTATATATATCACTTAAAAATTATTCGGCCTACATATCTACAATTTCCCCAACATGACCGGCATGTTAAAATCTAGCTTCCAAACAACCGGAAGATATTTTTTCTGTTGCATCAATTTACCTATATGTTTATAAATAATCGATTAAGTTGTGTTTTATATCACCACGCAATATCACTAAAAGTATGTCCTTTACAGAGTAAAAGTATTACGATTACCAGTAAAGTTTTTATACAAGGATACCGAGCAGTTTCCTCATTGCTATGATTGTGTCTATTTGAAAACTTCCTAGATTTTGGAAAATCTTTGTAATAGTCATTGTTTTGTGTTTCCTTATCAAAATTTTATTGCAATTGTCTATAACGACATGAACAACATTTGCTAATGCAGATCTTGGGGAAAAGACAAAATAGGATTAAAATACGTAAAATATTTCATTAAAAAAGTCAACCAGATATGAGACAATAATTAGTTGTTATCTCTGTATAAGTAACTACTTACTTTTGTTGTCTTTCGTTAAACTGTTGTCATGTCTATCATATAATCTTTTCGTATTATTTTTGGCCAAATGTCACTTTTTTATGAGATTAACAAAAGGTTGTAAGGTGAACTGCGCAGCGTTGCCATTAGTTCATATGCCGTTAAAATAAGATCGGATCGCAAACATTAGTGCAATGCGTCTTAAATCTTCAATCTTATTATCCAACTCGTCATACAGCATACATTGATATACCACTCGACACGTCTGTGCTTATGGCGTTTGGTCAGTTTTTATCTACATGCAAAGATTTGACAATTCTAAAATGTCGACAAAAGAATAATTTTATTGATAAAATGAATATCTATAACTATATGCAAGTCGGGTGTAAAACAATGTTTCTTTCGCTTTTTTTGGAGGAAGGGGTGGGGGATAATTTTGCTCTGGTGCCAGTGAGGAAAATTTGACATCATTGGGTGATGTGTGCACAGTGTATACTCTTTTATAAAGTTTCTGTCTCATGGGGCATTTTTCTTCGCAGCGAAGACAACAATGTCACGATAACGGTTTGGTATATGATTCCAGTTTATGTATATGGAATGAAAATAAAATAGTTAGATGGGACTGATAGAAGGAAAGGAAGACAATAAGTCATTGAATTAGATACATTTCTAATTTCACTGTAAATGAAACACAGCGATAGATGCAGCTTCTATATAAGGTGAGTATCATATAGATATATAAAGAAGAGGCATTTCGCAGCAGCAACCGAACTTAATATCTGTATCATGATTAGAATATCTGGCGAGTGTTTTACATGAGAGGAAACATGCATGTGCATGCCTGTACGCCTTTTATCATTCCCGAGATTTAAACAAAGGCACAGCTCAAGACAACTGGAGAACATGCCTCGCTTCCAGAGCCATTATGTACATGTATATGACGTAATTCCAGCACTGTAGGGTGAGACGAGATTACATCGGTGGATCAGGTTGGTATCTGTAATACAAGAGGTTTCCTGACAATGACACTAACACTACTTACAACGGGAAAGTGTACACGTGTCTAGGACGGGCTGCCAAGAACGTCAACACCAGTTTCTCCAAGCATTTCTCCAGTTTATAATACTGTCATAATTAGCACATTCATCGTCAATACTTTCAGCAGTATGTACTGTGTACACTACAATTTGCTGGTGGGGACATTCAGATAAACTATGGTGTCTCATTCTGTTTAGGGGTACACCAGTTCATGATTAGCAATGTGTATGATATTATCTAAATACCTTAAATACCGGTCTTGCCATTTTTTTCTTTTTCTTTCCTTCTTTTTTTTCTAATAAAGAAACGATAACCTAGTTTACCAAAAGTTGTTCATTGGTTCATATAAAACGGAGCCGTACCTTCTGGGTGAAATACTCCAGAGACATTGAATGCTGAATGAGCCGCAGACTGTGTTAATATACTTTGGATTTCCTTTAATGTTCTCAAACTGAAATAACAATAGAAGTTATCATATCCGTGATCACATACCGTTGGTTCAAGAGGAAGGCTTCAAATACGACGCAGTACTGATATATACTCGATGACACGATACAAAGGCTCTTTCCCTTTCTTCTGTGGCAATGGCAAAACAGTGCAGCAGTTATCATCTTGTAGATCTTTATCAGCAATATTTGTTGTCTGGGGCCGATAAACGTACTTCCTATGCGAAGTCATACTAAGGGAAATAGATATATTTGATGTTTGAGATAAATTGTGCGGTAACGCGATCCTACTTCGAACGATATTTTGTAGAACTATTTGCACCATCGTCTATATTGATACGTTTGTTTTCTCTCTGTTTGTACTCAATAGTTCCTCTAAGGACTGAGTGCAACAAACTGACTTGGCATGCT